GTGTGGGGGGCGAGGGTGGGGGGGGGGGGAAATCACCTCTAAAAATATGCTGGGGTCTTCTCAGAATTTCCCCAGAAGGAAAAGTTCCAGGTCCTGAATGCAACAGCTGTTTAAAAACAAAACAAAAACACCACACACATACACATTCAGCCCCTGTACTTTCCCCTGAAGCTCTCTTCTCTAAAACAGATGGAGACAATCTAAAAAAACTACTGAGTTAAATGTTTAAGAGGGGAAAGGATACATGTAAAACGCAGCTAGACCACTAAGGGATACGGGCCCACAGCCTCAGTCTTGCAGTCAGTCTGGATGACAGGTATGGAGGGTAGGTTTGGGACTCTGAGTCTTTTTTTATTTTAATTTTTGGGGTGAGGCAAAAGAGAATGTGTTACAAAATATTGTTAAAGCCACTGATGACAAGTAAAGGAAAAAAAAGAACAAGAGATTAACACTTACTTTGGGGGCCATCCTTTCCACTTCACAAGGTATTCTACTTTACCCTAGAGAAAGAAAAAGAAGGAAAAAAAAAAAAAAAAAAAAAAGAGGTAAGCTTTGCAACAATATGGGTGCTACAGTAAAAGATATTAACAGAAACCCCTTTGGCCTTCCCTACAGACAATACACTTGAAAAAGCTTATTCCCCATCATTACATTTCAAATGAAGCCTCTTCCTGGTTAAAATGAATAATTCAGGGGTTTCTACAGTCAAGCTCTCTCCAATAACTCTGCTATCAACCATGGAGCACAACTCTGCAGGTGCTTTCTACTAAGTAACTACCATATTGACAGGCAGAGCCCCAACCCCTCTCCAAGTACTGACTGCTCTAGCACCTACCAGCAGCCCTACAACCACAAATCATCAAGCATAAACCAAAGAGGAAAGCACATGTCAGGAGTGCAGGGGGGTAGTTCGCCGCTGCCATTAGAAATACTTCTTGGCTTCTAAAATCTTGCATCTCTTAGGCATGCCCCATTCCAGCTGCTATATGCTCCACTCACACTCAGCTCTGCTCACAGCCCCTCAGCCTTTTGACCTAAACAAATAGCAATTAAAAAAAATAATCTAAAGTTATCCAATGACTTGGTCACTACGTAGCACTGAGAAAAATAGGAAGAAATGGAGGTGTCTGGAAGTCAGCTGAAGATCTCCAATGTGTACTTGTACAACACGTAATCACTGTGCCACGCTTTGGGAAATGTTAAAGCAAGTATACATAAGCACACACACTCACATAGGTGCCAAAATGGCCAAGACATGGAAGATGTATTATTTAAGAGGCACACAGAGCTTTAACTTCCAGCACAGCTAAAGCATGTGTGGGCATCAAACAATTGGTTTTATTTTCCTGAATGGGAGCTCAGTTTTCAAATATCTGAAAACACAGCCTTATAAGGTGCTTCACATTAGAAGATCTCTAGACCCTTCATGTTTAAGGATTAATCCTTGCAGAAAGCCATGAAGGTAGCCAATATCCTGGCCTTTGCAGCTGGAGAAACTGAGTCACTAACATCAAAACCCAAATTTGCAGAAGTATCTGATTTTGGACGCCAATTCAGATACAAGGCCTGATTTTCAGAGGTGCTGAATGCCAAGACCTCCCATTCAAACACTGTTGGTTCTCAGCTCCCCTAGAAAAGTCTTAGTGCCCTCAGTCTGTCCAAAAACAGTCTCCCAAATTAGTGGCCATTAACAGAGAAAGATGCTAGGAGGGTGCATGTCGGGCAGGTGGAGGTGAGGGGAGAGCTACTGAACTTGCCCTGTGCCAGACATGGGAAGCCAGCTCTTCCATTTCTCACTTCCTTTAAGCATAAGGCAATGCTTTCCTACACGATAAACCCTCCTGCATCAGGACCTCAACGCAAAATTAGTAAGAGTTGCCCTATGCTTTCCTCCATCACCCCACCAACCTCACCAGTGCACATGTGCACCTACCAGCACACTCAACCCCCAATGCTTGGGAAGCTGTGCAAAAATGACTGGCTTACAGCAAGAGAAGTTAGCCATACTCCTCTTCCAGCAGAGCCTCTCCCCTCCACACCCACCAGCTTCCACACAGAAGGCAAAAGCCCCTCCAATACAAATTTAAGACCCTGAGTGAACTGAAGAGAAACAACATAAGGGGATTTCTTTCCACAGGAAAGAAGGGAGGGACCAGAGAGGGGAGGCTGCCTGGTCTCCAGCACGAGGGGACTTATTTAAGGGAAGGTGCTAAGGGATCAATATGATCTCCTTTTGGGAGGTGGATGTGGGAGTCTCCCCCTCTCCTAGGCCTCTCTTTGCCCTGCTCAGGGCTTGATAAGGAGATTATTAACCTCCCGCCTTCCCCCTGCAAAGGGCACCACTCAAAGATGGGAGCTCTCTCCCTGAATACTAGGAGGCGGTGGAGGAGGTGGGGAAAAGCATCAATGGGGCAACCCTCACTATAGGCCCCCCTTGCTTAAACCTGGCAGGAGGGGAAGTGGCCGACAACCATGCCCTGCAGCTGGACCAGATCCCCCCTCGCGCCCCCTGCCTGCAGCGCGGTGCTAGTACCCACCACGCCCCCCTGCCTGCCTGCAGCTCAGGACCTCGGGGGGGGGGTGTATGTAGATGCATATGCATATGTATGTATATATGCATGTGTGTAGATATATGCGTGTAGATATATGCATGTGTGTGCGTATGTGTGTGCTGGGAGGGGTATATAACGGGATCCCCCCCGCCCGATGCCGGGGGCGGTGAGGTGGGCTATCAGGACATCCAGACACCGGGGGGTAGAACAGGAGGGCAGGTCGGGGTGGGGGGTGACAGGGGTCTGCCTCCCCCGCCGGGGGCATGTAGAGGGGCAAGGACGCCTCACCTTCCTGACGCGCTTCTTCCTGATGCTCTCCACCGCGAAGACCTGCTCCCCGATCGCGGACAGCTCCATGCGGGGCGGCGGCGGCGGCTCCCCGCCGCTCAACGTTCCATTTTAGAACCTGCGCAACATTTTCCCCCCGCCCCCTCCCCCCCGCGAGCGGGCGGCTGCGGCGCGCCAGGAGCTCCCCCTTCCCGCCAGCGCGAGATATGTTCCCCGCCGCACCCCGCGCGCCCGCCGGGCGCTTTTTGGCGCTGGCTAAAGGCCTGGGGCTGAAGGGACGGGCCTAGGCTGGGTCTGTCCTGAGCCCTGCCGGGCCCCTACACGCGCGGGGCGGGGCAGGGCTGCCAAGGGGCCATGGGCTCACGGTATAGATTGGTGCCTCTTCAAGGGGGGAGGGGGGAGTCACACCGACCCCGGTGGATACACACCCTGGTGTATACACACTCAAACTACACCCTGGGGTGTGGAGAGAAGTAGCTAGGCATGTCAAGCTGAAATCAGGGCAGATAAGTCACTCTGTAAGGATGCATAAATATAGAGACCACAGGCCTTCCTGACCCCAAGTTTACTTCATCAGATGCCCTTCGTGTGTGGCCACACACAGACCCCCTGGTGTGTGCAGAGAGCTAGCTAGCCATGTTAGGCTGATGTCAGGCTGACTAAATATAGAGGGAGCACAAGCCTGTGTGATGCCAAGGTTACTTTTTCAGATGCCGCGTGTGTGTGTGTGTGTGTGTGTGTGTGTGTGTGTGTGCGCGCGCCCCCCCCCACACACACACACACCCCGCCCCCCCTGCTGTGTGCAGAGAGGTAGCTAACCATGTTAGGCTGAAGTCAGAAGGCCGGGCAGATAATATCTTTACAGACTGCCTAAATATATAGAGAGAACAAGCCTTCATGATCCCAAGTTTACTTTATTAGATGGCCCTTGTGTGTGGTTACACACTCACCCACACAACTCTGGTGTGTGCAGAGAGGTAGCTAACCATGTCAGGATGAAGTCAGTCAGAAGGCAGAGCAGATAACATCTTTACAGACTAAGTATTGAGAGAAAACAAGCCTTAGTGACCCCAAGTTCAGTTTATCAGATGCCCCTTGTGTGTAGCCAGTCCCAGTGCGGTGCCCCCTAGTATGTGGTGAGAGGTAGGCGGAAGTCAGGCCAAATACCCATCTTTACAGACTAAATATAGAGAGAGCACAAGCCTTCATCACCCCAAGTTCACTTTATCAAGTGCCCCTTGTGTGTGGCTGCACACACATGTACACCCCTGGTGCATGGAGAGGGGTAGCTAGCCACATTAGGCTGAAGTCAGTCAGAAGGCAGGGCAGATATGCTTTTTTATGGACTTCCTTTCCTTCTGTTTTCATGTCCTTGTAACAAGGTATTTAGCAGAATTCACAGATTTGCTAGAATCTGATATGGCTGCACTGTGAGGGCTTCTGGCCTCAAACTTGCAGTCTCTGGGCTGTTGACCATGCATCTTAACACCCATGCCACCTCAGCCCCCATCATTATGGACTGACTAAATATAGAGAGAGCATAAGCCTTCATTGCCCTAAATTCACTTAATCAGATGCCCCTTTTGTATAGCCGCCACCCCCCCACCCCATGTGTGGCCCCTGTTGTGTGGAGAGAGGTAGCTAGCCATGTTACACGGAAGTCAGTCAAAAGGCAGGGCAGATGCATATCTTTACAGAGTGACTAAATATAGAAAAAGCATAAGCCGTTGTGACCCCAACTTCTCTTCATCAGGTGTCCCTTGTGTGGAGCAGCCTGAGAAGCAGGGAACAATGAAGCATGTAGTTCTCCAACACCAGATAAAGGAGTGAAGGAGCCGCAAGGTGACAAAAACATGGTGCAGAACAGAATAAGGTGCATCTTCCTGCTCTCACCCTCTCCCCCAGGAGATCTCTTTCCAGCTTCAAGCTCCCTGCCAGCATTTCCCAGCATTGTGCAACTTAATGCAGGGAGAGTTTAAAAAGAGAGAGAGAGAAAGAGATAGAGCCATTACATTGTGCTCCAGTAGATAATGCACCAATGTAGGAGCCAGGAAGCCTGGGCTTTCTTCCCAGCTTTGTCACTGAGCAGCATGTATGCTTAATGCTTTCTAACCTCTCCTTTTGGTGACAGTTTCATCCTGGCTGACTGGAACCTGGCTTTAGTCACACCTTTGTTACTTCTCAGTTGAACTACAGCCCTGTAAGGATGTACTGGGATGTGCCCAGTGAAGCTGCAGCTCTTGGGAAATACAAGCTGGTACAGGAAACAGCAGTGCATCTCAGCCATAAGCAGTTTTGTCCTCCATCTTCTGTCCTGGCTTTCCATAGAACATATACTCAAGTTCAAGGGCCTAAATCAAATCAACATGTTGAAGATAAGCTCTGAAACCAGGATACCTAAAGTGTGATGAAAACTATAGTCCAAAAGACCACGGTTCACAACTTTGTTCCACCAGTACAATGGAGTTTGATAGCAGATGTGAAGCTCATCTGTGCACAAGACTGAGTTCTCTCAGGGTCTGGTCCAAAGCCATAGAGTAAACTCCTCCAGGAACCAAGGGTTATCACAGAAAACTTACTGCTCTCCACTCACAGAGGAAGGTGCAATACTTGGACCTAGCATTCTCCAATGCATAGCAGTCTTATGGATCCTTCCAAGTTAAACACTGTACAGCACACACTTCTCCTACAAGGAGAAGAAAAGGGAAACCACCCAACAGATAATAGCAGGCACTGGTGGGAGGCACTCAGATACATCACTCATTGAGTATAAGCTCCTATAGGAGATAACTGTGTGACCTTGAGTCATTAATTTCACCTGCCTGCATAGGTTTCCTCACCTGGAAAATGGGGATGATGACACTTATTTCCTTTGTAAAGTACACAAAGGAATGGAAATCATTACAAGAAAATCATTGCAAGGTACATGCAGATGGGAGTACAGCTATCAGGTAAGTTGGGGAGTTAAATTCCTGTATATTTTTGCATGCTGTCACAGAACATAAATGTGCATTTTACTTGTAGGCCTCTAGACTAGAAGAGTCTCCTGAGACACTTTTATATCTTTCCTCCTACTGTTGTGTAGTGCACTGCTTGATTACTACCCTTTTGTGACTGTATGTCTAGGATGTGTATGTGTGTGGTTGGGGGGGATTTAGGAAATGGAATGAACTCTGGTATAAAAATGTAAAATATTAGGGAAAAATTCAATATCAAGAGCAACTTAATACACATAGTGAGTTAGATTGTACAGTCAGCTTTTATTTAGATGCAGTGCATCTGATCTATTTCATTTGAATACATTACCATTTACTACCAAAATAGTTTTTGCATATGCTACAGCTACTTGCTCATTCAAATGCTTTGCACAGATTGTATGGTCTCTTGAGTTTGCAGTTCCTTGTCTTAAGTATTCAATAGGCATTTTTAAAGTTTCTTACTGCTAACAGCATCATTTTCTTTCATTAATGTTTTTAACTGTGTTGTGAAATAAGACTTTTTCATTTTGTATTTATTTCAAGTTATTCCCTTTCTCAAGAATGTGTACTGAGCTGCAGTTTTTTAACTGCATTTGACAGAGAATGCTAGAAGGGACAGTAGCAACCTACATTTGGGATAAGGCTTAGCTTTGATATAAACAACTTTGAGGGACCCAGACAAAAAAACTGTCAAAATCTTTTTGAATTGCAACACCTCTTTCCCCATTTTTAATCCTGTGCATTTGCAGTGCTCAGAGCCAAATAATTGAAGCAATAAAATCCTGAGAATAACTGACGTTACTGTCCAGGCTGAGACAGAAGCAAAACAAAAAAAAAGTAGAGTTTGACGCAAGAACAGAACTGACTCATTAAAAAAAATCAATTTTTAGTCATCCAAAGCATTCATAGCATAGAATAGTTACATTTTAGATGAACATTTATATTTGAACAAACAGTGTTTCCACAGACATGTTTAAAAGATGTTCTGTGAACATTTAAAAAAATAAATCAATAAATCAGTACTAAAATAAAAGACTTTGCATTTTAGGCCCAAATTGCCGGACAGTTTCCCTATAAATAAGGGATGAACAATAGAAGTTATCTGGATATGACACTGTTAGTATCATTTATTCACTTTTACCACCACCCCCCCACCCAACACACACACATTAACAGTTGTCTAAAATTGAGTTCAACAAATGTCACATTGCTGATGTTACAGTTATTGAAAGGGCACTTACATTGGTGCTTGGAATGACTGCTGATGAATTCTTGCCACAAGATGACATCAGTGTGCAGCAGAGTTTCAGTCACATTTATAGACAGGAATAAATTCATATGTTGCTTGCTTTTCATGTGATGCTTATGATAGTGAAGTACCTGATCCTACAGATCTGCCCTTCTCTCCCCCCTTCAAGTAGCCTTTATTCTCATGAGTAGTTCTTCTTGGAGGAAGTCACCATTTGCATTATTAATTCGTTTCAGGGAGTAAGAATTGTTGACTACTCCCCAGTCCTTAGGCAAGGAACTTCATATATACTACATCTCTTGTAATTTTAGAGTAAAGTCATCACATTATTTTTCTTAAGCCATATAATTCACAGGTGCTGCTTGAGCAGAAGAAAGGACATTATTTAAGTTGGTCTCATTGGGCACGTCCAGACGAGCGCGCACATGCCTCTTTCCCCATCTCAAACCCCTTTGAGGCGGGACAGGAGGCACATGCGGGAATGAAAAAAGGTTCCCAAGTTTGCAGCACAGGGAGAAAATTAGACCAAATAACCACTCCGCAGAAGAGCGGAGCAAGGCATGGTCCCAGACCGTGCCAGGGAGTCAGTCCTCCAAAAGAGACACTCTGGGCTGGCTGGGCAGCAGGAGCAGCCCCAGGGCCAGCAGGACCCATCTGGGTGCGGTGCACGGTCCCTGCACACCGCGCCAGTCCTGTCGCCGAGGGGCCCCGAGAGCAACAGGACTCGGCTGGGCCCACCACGTAGTCCGCATGTACCATGCCAGGTCCTGCCACCATGAGCCTGGCCTGGCCGGGCGGTAGAGGAGCCCCAAGGGCGGCAGGACCCAGCTGGGCCCAGCATGTGGTCCCCGCATGCTGCACCGGGTC